TCGGGCATGATGGAAGCAGAAAGGGGAAAGCTTGAGGCATGGTCTCTCACTCGTACTCTCTTTCTCTTGGGTCTCAGATTTGACTGGAAGGGCAGAGAAACTCTGACAGTTCTGTATTATTATCTGTGTAAGTGTTCCCCAATGAACACCCATTTATCATTTATCTTTGGTCTAGTGAATTCATTATTACCCACCTTCAAATAAATAAATAGTAAATAAACAAGTAAATAATAGATAAGCTGGAATTCTGGTTACAGTACCTCATAAGGTAGACCTATTTAGAGACAAGGTCTTTACAGAGGGGAACTAAAATTAGGTCATGGAAATGGACACAGATTTCAATATATCTAGTGTCTTTCCATCTTCTTTAAGTGTTTTGATTCCTGTGGCACATATAAAAAAAGTTCCATGTTTTATGAGTGGAGGGGTATTAACACAAATCAAGAAGAAACACTGGGTTTCTCTTTCTAGGTTCCAAATCATGATGTAAGTAATACAGGAACACAAACATAGTTTACGGACATTGGCTTCAGCAGTAGAACCTAAGTGTATCATTGCTTGAAGTCAAGGTTTTTAAAGCTAAATTCTTATGACTTCTGAAAGCTGTGTTCCCTATTTTCTGTTCTTTTAGTTAGGTCCTTTGTATTCTACCTAAAAGAGGTGAAGAAGAATTGCCCTTGTAGCTGAGTGGTGGTGGCACACACCTTTAATCCCAGCACTGGGAGACAGAGGCAGATGGATCTCTCTGAGTTCAAGACCACCCAGTGCTAAATGAGAGTGTACCGATTCACATCTGTTTCCAGGACTAGAGCCGTAGTGTAAAACTTTTCCTCAAGGCATCCTCAAGCAGAACATTTTTAATAAGGTTTTTGAGTCAGGCTACACTGACAGTAAACTGGGTACTATTAGTGTTAGACAGGGGAAGTAAGTGTAACTTGAGATGGCATCAGGCAGGACAGTATCCCACACAAGTTGCAGACACAGGCAGATAACCAACTTGAGTTTCCTGCTATCGGTCAGGCCAATGGGCAGAAAGATAAAGTACTGAACTGTTGCGAGGATCTTGTGACTCATCTCCATGGCCCTTTGTGGGTATCAGTGATAGGCTCAGGGTAGGAAGCCAGCTGTTAGGTGATATACCAAAAATAACTACTTCATCTACAAAAGGGTGCCATTGGCTTGACAATCTGCACACCAGTTGGTTACTGTTGCTTAGAACAAGTAACACAGAATAACACAACAACCCTGTCACTGCTCAGTGAGGAATCCCAGTATATGCACATACTCAGAGTGGGCATTGGGCAACTGTGTTCCAGAAGTTAATGAGTAAGCCTGCACTGCTTTGATTCTTAAATCTTCATATCCTGAACACTATGTAACATGTGCATTTATAGTTAGCTATTAACTACCTGCTCATGTCATAGAAATAGCCATTATTAATATTCTAAATTAAGTTGTGTGCTTCTATTGCTAGATACTATGAAAATACTGCTTTTGCATAAGGTCCCAAATGCAGTCATCACCAAATGATGCATTCCAATTTAGACTCATCTGTGTTTTAGGTCTATATTAGTTTGAAGACAAGGATAATTTTCTATAAATCTGTCTTACATGGTAGGCACTTAATTTGAGCAAAATATGCAAGCAAATAATATGTCATTTGTTCAATATTAATTCTTAGAAGATTCATGTATGGGGGCTGAATATGTGGATTTCCCAATACAGAAAAAAAATTGAAACAAATAATCTAGAATCCATCCTAGTATGAGTGAAGTAGTATACTTTCTGTGCATGACCCAACCTGGTCTAAAGTCTGATCTATTCATTTTTATATTTCTCCTTTTGGTTGTAGAAATACTGCCTCAGGGTTTTTCCATAATCACGAACTCTTGTGAAAGTAAGTACACAGGAAATTCTGGAAGGAAATCTATTTATTATTTGATTATTTTTCATGGTATTCTTGTTAGTGAATTTCAGAGGTAAGCATGGAAATCAATTTGAATGACAGTGTTTAGATCATTTGTACCGTTTACTATTTTAGGTGCAGATGAAGACATGCATAAGACCCACAACTGGGCAGTGTTCCAAGAGTGATGCTCTGGAGTGCTCCTCCCAGGATAGGACATCTGTGACACATCCTTCCCTTCTCGGGTCAGGAGTCTGGGGGTGCACAGAAAGATACTGAAAGCCAAATGAGGTGGATGAGTCTTAGGAAACATTTTTCCAGACACAACGGGGAAGATGCACACTGAACTCACAGAGACTGTGACAGCACTTGCATGACTAGAAAACTTAAGACAAAAATTTCAGCGTGCAGACAGAGTGGGTACATAGCCCTACCTCTGCCAAGAAGGTATTCACAATTGAAACTGCTAGGGGAGGGAACATCAGTTGTCTCTAGTGGAGTCTCACTGGGTCTATCAACCACACTCCAGGGCGGGAGTAAGTAAGCGGCCAACACAAATCAGACTGACTCTTTGTGCTTTTAGGGGCTCTTTTCTTGTTTTTGAGAGAGATAGGATAGGACATGGGTGAAGAGGATCTAAGGAGTTTGGAGGCCAGGAAAGAATATGATTAAAATAAACTGTGTGAAATTCTCAAAGAGTAAACACTGTAAAAATGATTTTTTAAAAGATATTTAAGGAGAAGGTAAACAAGATATAGGACTTTTATATTTTTGTACTTTTAGATACTGTCCTTTACCTAATGAACTGAAAATCTACACTATATCCTTCTTAAATAGGTTTACCTTCTACTATAGTCCTATACTCTAGCAAGTTAGGAAAGAGTTAAAGATGCCAATTGGAATGTTCGGGTAAGAAGACATTCATCCTGCTTCAGATTAAGATGTTCTCAGTGTTTAAACAAAAACATTGTGACGGGCGGGGAAGGCTTGCCCACTTCATTAATTTCACATTAATTACATGCTAGCACAAATATGGCATGTTTTGAAATTCCGTCTTTAAAAATATTATCTAAATTACCAATATCTTACCACACTCTAGAGATTGTTTATTAATAAAAATCTCTCAGTTCAAACTAAAGAAAGATGAAAGCAAAATGTCAATTGTTTGGTGTAGACTTTCGAAGTATAAATTACATTTATTAAATGGGGGTACATCCTTCCCACCGAACATGTGGAGATCAGAGGACAACTTGAAGGAGTCAGGTCTAAGTCCTGGAGATCGAACTGTGGTCATCTGGCTTGGCAGCAGGTGCCTTTACCTGGGAGCCATTGTACTGACCCAGATATGGTTTGTTTAAAGAATCTGTTTGTATTTGTTAGCACCCATTTAAAAGACTGAGTTGTGCAAAAATACTCAATTAGCTGACTACTTAAATATACTTTGTTTTCCCAACAAAACTACCGGACTATTTAGAGATTTTTATTTTTAATAATGATATCAAACTATCAAATAAATTTAAGCAAGCCCGTTAGTAAATGAACCACGATCAAATTTTTAAATGAATCACAAATTTGCAATGTATATTTCAGATGCTAACACACAACTAAGTATCAACTGGAAGATTTTAAATAATATTTCATCTAAGAAAATTTTTTAAAAACTGAAAGTGGTTACATACTTCTCTGAATGTTATTAATTACGCTGGATGCTAAGATACTATCCAGTAAACCTATTTTTTTTGTTTTATTCCATATTGTGGGGGAGAGGATTTCAAGACAGGGCTTCTCTGTGTAGCTTTGGAGCCTGTCCAGGAACTCTGTAGACCAGACTGGCCTCAAACTCACAGAGATCAACTTCCTCTGCCTCCCAAGTGTTGGGTTTAAAGGCATGTGCCACCACCACCTGGCCAGCAAGCAGATTTAAACTTGAATGTGTTTTAGCAATTTTTCCCAAAGCGTGGAAAATTTTGCTTAAAATAAAATTTCAAAACTATTTTTAAGAAGGAAGAAAATATGTCTGTGGCCCATTACAAATAGGATAATAGTACTGGGCTCAGGAGCAAAGCCTTGCCTTGTGTGTGCTGGGCCTGAGTGTGATTCCTGGACAAAAGATGGCATGCTGGAGCCTGAAAAGTCCTGTCACACACATTGTCTTGTCTTGCTCTGTGCAAATTAAATGCTCATTTCCAATTTTCTATGAGATGGGTTTACTGGCACTTTGGAAATTTTACCTGTACATGTTGTTAGACCTAGCAGAAGCAGGACATAACAACTGAGTCGTGCTTCTATAATACTTTCTGTTCTGTTTATTTCTGCTCTCAGATCACTTTTGTTGCTTCTAAATCATGTGATTTATCCTTTTGTGCTCCGGTTTTCTGAAACTCCCTTTCTTCCTTCACCCAACTGTGTGATGTATACAGCTTACTGAAGAGGAAAGTGTTATATATGCACTTACAGTGTGTACAGCTTACTGTAGGGTGGGGTGTGTGTATGCACTTTGGTGAAGATTAGTCTGGAATCTTCTCCAATGGAAAAGCATCAAAGTGTACTTGGGTCATTTTAATTTGTCTTTGCTGTTGTTTTAAATGCTGTTTGATTTACTTCTTAGCTTTCCTACTTGGAGTATTCAAGAGGTAAGAATGAGCAACAACCAGAAATACTGTTTCAACCACCCATGTCATGAGAAGCTAAAACAAGAACACAGCTAAATCCAAGCTATGAATTTGCTCCTGACATCTCAACACAATGGTGTTGCTTTGTCAGCTCATTAGACAAACCAATCACAATAGAAGCACCAGAGACAAGACTCATATCCCTGTTGATGCCCCAAAGTTCTGATTTTATCCTCAATACATTTACAGGGACTTAATGAAATGTAACTAAAAAAATTGGAACACAACTGGAAATGTTTACTAAGTGTCATGGTATCTAAGTCCTTCAGAAATGAATGGAACGAGAAAAGACAGAAGTGCAGAAATATTACAGTTTTGTCTTTAACTATTCAAACTATAGCTAGTTAAGAGGCTGTCAACAGATGAGATGACATCATAGATCTGTGTGTGCCACCATTCCAAGTGATCACAACAATCCAATATTTTCAATTTCTGGGCTTTTATTTTAGACTTAAATTTTGAGCATATTGAATTTGCTATTACCACATGAATTTCATAATATTTTTCTCAAACCATAATTATAATCTTAATACAACCAAGCAGATTAAGAAAAATCTCCCCCAATAGAAACAAAGGTTTTGAATAGAACTAAGTAAGAATATTGGCGTTTATATGCAAAAAGAAAACCTACCTTATATATGGATTTTTAAACCACAGCTATTATATATACATTTTCATCGAACAATTCAATACCATCAATATTTGCATAAAGGCACCTGGTAGGCTAACCAGAGTTTCTTTAAACTGTAATTTCACATAAACTGCTTTTTTCAATAAATTTGGTCAGGTTTCCAAAGAGCCCGGAAGCAGCCTCCGCCTCTCCGTCCTCCTAGGGCAGCACCTGCCTAACTCCTTTAATATTAAATGCAATACGAAAACCTTTAAGAAACTTGGCTTCTCCACAATTCTTGTTGCAGTTGTCCAGCATCTGTATCAGTTGCTATTGAACTGATTATTTCCCTGTTTTACCTACTTCTATTCTTTTTTCTCCATATCAAACTGCTTGGAAAATAGCCTTTTTGTTTGTGATTTACAAAATTTTAAGGACTGAAATAGGTGTTCACCTGGTTCCTCCACAATGTTCCGTCATTCTATAATCTGGAAAGGGCTAAACTACAGTTTAGACCAAGTACTGTGACATCAGGCAAGAAATGTCCTTCATAGTCATATAAAGAGACATCAGCTCCAGTTCTCAGAATTATTCCTTTAATTAATGAGACATATTGTTATCATTCATATTGAACAAGCAGTTATCATTTGCAGATGTGAAAATCATGAGGAATCAACTCATTATTGATACTAAAAAAATTCGTTTGACAACATAATATGGCATGAGCATCAGATTTAACTGTGCTACTGCCCTTATTATCACAGCTTAGTTATTTTTCCTATCAAAGTGTGCTTAACTAGGATAGGAGGGGGGATCTTTAAATCATATAAAGGCTTGATGTGTAGCCCAGACGATTTACTAGAACAAGTTAATTCTAATACAGAGATTTCTTTTGAAAGTATTTGAAATACTTTTTTCAAAGGTATTTTAAAAATAAGAGGTGATAATCTTAATGGTAAATGACAATATTCCTTAGTATGCTAATCTTAGCTGCCTCAATAGAACTTTTTGCTCATGAATAAATCAATTAGGATTTTCCTCCCTGGGTATTTGTGTGGGAAACTTCATAAACAGCCTCCCCCCCCAGGCCTGCCTGGTAACCACATCATGATCCCAGGAACTTACGAATTGTTTATCTGTCGAAAGTGATGTGGCCCGTGACTGCGGAGGCTGAGAGGACAAGATCAACCTGGATTTTTCCAGCAAACCCTAAATATAATCACGTGTCCTTGAAGGAGCCAGGAAGTGTGATAACAGAGAGGAAGGTATGTGACCCTGGAGGCCAAAATTGAAACTTTTTAACTAGTAGTTAAGAAATGAGGGCAGCCCAGAAACTGGAAAAAAACAAAAAACAAAACAAACAAAAAATCAGACAAACAAACAAACAAACAAAAAACAGTGCCTCTCTAGGGCCTCCAAAAGGAAGCAGCTTCCCTAACATCTTGATTTTGGACCATTAAGTCTGACTTTGGAATTTTAACCTCCAGAACTGTAAGGAAGTAAATTTGTGTTGGTACTAGGTACTAAAGTAACTTGTTATAGCATCTGTGATTTGAGGAAAAACTACACACTAGCTGGTTTGTGGAGTTTCATTTTGAAGTACCCCTAATAAAATAATTTCTCACTGATTATTTGGAAAATAATATTCTTTGTTTTAAGAAATTGTTGAATATGTGCACAGCTTCAATGAGAGGCATCAAATGCTAGAGGATATATCTTTTCATTTATCAAGCTGAAGAGAAACATTACTAATTTGAATGTTTGAGAACCAAAGCTGTTGAAATACAAAATGCAAGAATCTTGCAGAAATCAGCTGCTAGATTTATTAATCTACCTGAAAGAAAAAGCAGGAAAAAAAACAAAAATCAAAATATAAAATCTTTCATTTTGCTAAAGTTTATGATGCTATATTTTGAATTTGTCCATATTAGTAATATACCTACTGTTTGCTAATGACTTACTTAGTTCATTAAGTCACTACCTATAACAACAAAGCATGTAGTTGTCCTTAGATATCAGAATTAATACCTTTATTCTTCTGAGCCTGTAAAAGAGCTCAGGGTCCAATTCTGCCTCCCTGACTGACTAGAAAAAGAATATTAAAAATGAAAAAGAAGAACAATAAAAAGAAAAGATTCCTCAACACAATTTACATTTAAAGATGAACTTAGAATTTCCTTCCATTTTGCCAAATAGCCCAATCATATATCTCAGGTGTCTGTCTGTCCAATAAATATTTAGGTGGTTATTTAGAAAGTTGGTTTTTATTCTGAGTGCTGTAAGTATCCACATGATCTTGGTGGGTGTCCTGATTTTTAAGGAGTACTTATCAGCCTGTGAAGGGCCAAGTGAGGTACATGCAGCACAGTCAATGAAATAATTTATAGACAGACATCGAAACACTTCTGGAGGATGCACATAGTACGGGCTTGGGCGTGTGGAGAGTGAAGGAATTGTTAATTTAGAGAAACAACTGTGATCTGTGCAGCATGGGGAATGGTTACTGAGGGGTCATCCTCACACAGTCTTTCTTGTGCTCAGAAATGCTTTCCTAGGTTTCTTTGGGCTTTGAGTTTAAGGATTTTCTAAAAAGTATTGTCCTGTAGATTCTTTACAAAGTTGCTCTCCAGAACAGTAACAGACTGAACACAATTCACTTCCTTTGCTTGGATCATGAAAGCAGCTACTCAGGGTTATTTGGACACCATTTCCATATGGTTTTTCAGAGTGAACATAACATGGCACACTTTTAATGCTGTTGTTTTCAAATGGGAATCAAAGCAAAAGAAAAACAAAGCAAAATCTTTGAAACTTCAGATCTTTGAATGTTCTTTCATACAGTCTGATCACGTTTACAGGTGTGTTCCAAAGGAGATGGTGGACAACATCAGTATCAGCACTATGTCACATAGCAACTTCCTCATATTCGATAACAGTTCATACACCATGTCCCGCTTCACCAAAATTTACTCAAATTTCCACAGTTTCCCTTAGCAAGCTGAAGCTCACTCTTCATTTGTCAATGTGCATAAAAGCTGCTTATAGCATAGCATGGGGTAAGCTATTTCTTAAGCAATTAAATGGTTTGAGTCATCTATTTTGTCCTGGATTGCTATCTGTAGTTAACAGCATCGCTTATAAATGGTCATAGTAAATTCAGCATGAAAGAGAATATTACAGAAAAGACAGCAGCAGAAGCATTAGCATTATCTAATATTTATATATGTTATCAACAGAACACAGCAGTGAAACATTTAAATGCATATCAATGGGTACCATGTCTAAAAATTACTATCATACCTATTTAGTGTAGTGGATATTTTTCTTAAAGAGTGCTTGCTGTAACTAGAACAGCATAATATGTGATTTAGTACAGTTAATTCTTATTGATTAAATAATGTATTTATGTACGGAAGATAGTGAAAGGAGACAGGTAATTTTTTTTCCTTTTTTTTTTCTTTTTCTGCTTCATTGTGATCCCAGATTTAACACTTAAATGAAGATTCCAAAGGATCATGACACGTTGTTATTTAACTGAAATGGGCATCGACATATTCGAAAGACAGTGATGCTACTGGCCTATGACTCAGCTGGAGTCAGAGTCCAAAACTGTGCCCCTCATTTGCAGTCATGGTGATGACTCAAAGTTCAGAGAATTGCCCACAGTTATGCTTATCCTTTACAAGTCGTCTGTAAAGCAAAATGGGATAGAAAAGAACAACCAATGCAATTGCTAAATACTTTTTTTTTACAAGAGGTGCAAAAACAGTCATGTCTAACATTAAACTGCCATTTACAGTAGTTTTTTTTTTTTTGTACACCTGCAAAGACTTCGGTAATGACGGGGAAGTGCTCAAGGCAAATGGTCTCCAAGTAGATATTTACACGATATCAAATCAAATGTACCGCAGACACCGAGAAAATTACCTTACGTTATTATGAAATCGAACAAACATGATATAGCTTCCTCATACAGAAAACCCGTAGGACCCCATCCCAAGCCTAAGTAAAAAATGAATTCCTAGTTCCCTCTGCCCGTTCACCCGCCATCTTCCTGTTACAAAGAATGAATGTCTAGGTTACTCCCACCCACCCTCAAATAAAGTGCGCAGTCCATGGCAGACCATAGAATAATGCAACAGGAAAGCCCCCTTTTGTATTATTATTTAAAAAACAAAATACAAACAACAAAAATAAAACAAAGTTTGAAGAGAATTCGGGGATTCTCTCCATCTTGGGAAAAAAAAAAGAGGCGAAGCACGGGGTGCCCTGCTTGACTGTCCCTTGTTTTAGTACACGTAGCCTTCGTTGTAGGGGTGGGGGTTGCAGCAGCCTCCTTCCGGCATGTAGGCCATGCTCTCATCAAAGTGAGACAGAGGCACCGTGTCCTCCTCGTTGATGTGGCGTTCCATGTCCGTCTTCAGCAGTGGGCGCTGGTTATCCGGAAAGGCCATGGAGAAAAGAGCTTCAGGGTCACAGACGAATTTGTAGACGTATCTCTCTCCAGCCACCTGAGAATATCACGGAAAAGCCCAGTGTCACCGTCCCCACATGGGTAGGGGAAGAGAGAAACAAACATGCGTTAATACATCGGCAGGGATGGAGGGCAAAAGAAAACATTTGACTAAATAACACGCACTTTCATGGGAAAACGTCTTTACTTGGTGAAATAAGCCACGGTTCAATCAGGGGAAACACAAAATGTTGCCCTTGAGTAATAATTAATTTACTCCACAAGTAGCTAGGAAACTCGGCAGTTTGCTTTTTTTTTTTTTTCTTTTTAACATAAAGGTGTGCTTACACTATCATTTGGGAAAGAAAAATCAACCATGCAATGCAAGCAATTCACACTGAAGTTTTTGTTTCAATGGTAACATCTATGCTTTTGAAAAGGTCTTTAAGCTTTATCTTCCCCTATTATATTTCTACTACTTGCAAGTTTTAAAAGGAAAATGTGCTTTATTCCTAAATAAGACGACAGTAGTCATCACTAATTCCCAAGATGCACTGCTTCGTTCCCCTTCATCTTTCCCCTGGCACTGTGCATTCCCATCCAAGGAAACCCCAAAGACACATAGCCTTATTTAAATGAAGGATAGGGCAAGAGGACGTTATCCTGAGCACATCACTTTTTACAATGAAGGCAAGATACATTAGACGAAGCTTAAGGATGTGTGTAAAGTGTCAAATTGAAGCAAGAGGCGTAAAAAAAAGTGAAAGGAATCTAAAATACACACTGGGAAGGGAGGAAATGAGAAGAGGAAATGTGACAACTGCCTGAAATAAAGGAGACGCAGCACAGTCTGTAGGGAAGGACGTGCCCCAAGCTTAAGTTCTGAAGAGTAATGCTTCTGTAGAAAATGATAAACAATTGAAGGAGACAAATGTACCTGCCATTAATAGACAATGCTGAGGAACTCAAGACCCAGGGCTGCGACGGGAAGCAAAGGCAATTCCTCGTGCTAACTCTGCTCTGTGCGTATGTGTGTGTGTGTGTGTGTGTGTGTGTAGGGGTATGTGTGTGTGTGTGTGCGTGTGTGTGTGTGTGTGTGTAGGGGTATGTGTGTGTGTATGCGTGTGTGTGTGTAGGGGTATGTGTGTGTGCGTGCGTGTGTGTGCGTGTGTGTGTGTGTGTGCGTGTGTGTGTGTGTGCGTGTGTGTGTGTGTAGGGGTATGTGTGTTTGTGTGTAGGGGTGTGTGTGTGTGTGTGTGTGTGTGTAGGGGTGTGTGTGTTTGTGTCTCACAATTTCAGAAAGCTGAAAAGAACTGAATGTCTCATGTTTCTGTGTCTAAAGGTCTTGCTAGCTGATTTGTGACATGGGGAAACAGTGTGCTCACAGTTTATAAACTCTCTGTACATGTTTGGGAGAGAAGGGAGGACTGCCAAGGATCTCTCTGCAGCTCCGGACTCAGATTTAGAATATTTGCTGCCCCGAATTTAAGTAAAAGGAACCATACTAGAGTCCAAATAATCTGGACATCCAGAGGTTTGAAAGAGCCAACACTGAGCAATGTTTATGAATCTGGACGTGTTTCTTAAACTGCCCTTTGGTTCCTCGTCGTGTGAAATGGAGACAGGAAGGGCTGCTTGGAAAGCCAGCTGCGATACGTAGAGGGAAGTCCCTAGCGCAGCGCAAAGCAAATGGAGGCATACAGCTTAACTCTTTTCCTTTAGTCCTCATTCCAGAAAGAAAAAAAGTGAACTAGTGAAATGACTGCAAAACCTGAAAACCAGGCAGTATCAGACAAAAGCTGAAAGGTAGGAAAGCTTAGATTTCTTGCCATTTCTCTTTAGTTTTCAAAGTATTTTCAGGAAATAAAATTAAAACAAATGCTATAGGAGTGCAAAAAATAATTGTTTGTCTTGGGTACTGGCCCTGACATTTTGTCTGACATTGAGGTTGTCTTTATTTAGAAGCAACATAATAAATGAAAAACATTTCATCATGAGGAATTTAAATGCATAAGGGCAATTGAAATTATAAAATCTCCTAGGGAGTTTTGTCATATATGTTTCTAGTTTTCTCCAAATAAACATTGCTTTACATGCTACTACTGTATCTGTCGCACTGTTAGATACTGCTGAGTTTAGAGAGGCTGACAGACATACAGAGTAAACGATGCCTTCCTTTGTTAGGGATACAGCCACAGTGTAAGAAATCCCAAATATTAGGTAAAACTTATGCAACAGTGAGATGAAAAAACACAGGAATTTTGTGGAGGGATGTATCAGAAGTAACCAGGGAGAAGGGTATCTTGTAAAGCCTAGACAGATATTTAACTTACATTTCAACTTTGAGAATGTCAAGGTAGCTCAGCAGCTTAAGGCACTTGCCTCCAAGTCTGGAAACCTGAGTTCAATCCCTCAGGCCCAGTTAGTGGGAAGCCAGACCTGGGTATGGCAAGCTGTCATTCTGACTTACATACACACATATACTGAAGGTACACATACACACAAACACATACTAATAAATATAACATTTCTTTCAAAATCTGGAGGAAATGAAATGGGGGTATATTTGACCCAATCAAAGTTTATCTGTGTATGAATATTAAATAAAATCTCAAAGGTAAAAGGTAAAGCAAAAAGAAACAAACATAATTATATAATGCAGAACACAAACGTTACTACATTAGTATACATTTTTCTAGGTATTGCTAAATTTTTGACTAGATGTGCAGATTTTTTTCTATGCAGTACAGCAAGCATTTTTCTAACACTTCTTATTTCTGTTTCAGAACTACTGAAATTAATCATTTAAAATGTTTTACTTGTATTAACCCATTTGCTTAATTGTATCTTAATTCTCCAGGCTTCTAATTGAATTACTCTTTACATCCATCACAAATGTCTAATTGAAGTTTTAAGCCAATGAACAAATATCATCACACAAACTTGGAATGTAATTCCCCATTACATATTTTTATGTGATGAGAAGGGGAAACATAGAATTCTTCTGAATAAATTGTGCTACAATTTACTTAACCATCAGAAGTATCCACACAGTAACAGGCAATGAAAAAGGCAGAATACTCTGGAAAGAACTCCCATAGGAGTTATGAGTGGGAAGCAGGGAAATGGTTGTATGTGTATGAAGATGAAAAGTACTTGCTGACATGGCAAGGAACCCTGGCTGGTTACTACCTACATGCAGAGTCCAAGCTCTGCGTGCTTGCATGGTAAACGACCTGCCTTCCTCATGCCAAGCAGTGAAAGGTCTGCCCTGTCAAGTGGCCACAGGAAGCTGCCGTGCCTAGATAAGCAGTAAACCACCCAAGGCTGAAGGAAATAACAACAGATACCCAAGTGTTTTATCCTTATGCATTCATTTATTCATGGTCTCCTTTATAAATGTCATTTTTTAGTACATTTTATCTTCATCCATGTTTTTGGATTTTGCACAAAACAACTTTTGAATATTAAAAGAAGCTCATATGAATTAAAAGAAATTGAACTTTGGTCTGCCAACCAAATATGATGAAACATTCATTTCAAGCAAGTGGTTTGGGATATTAAACTGTCAAGTGATAAGACCAGGCAAGATATGGAGCAAGAAAAAAGGTGTTGTTTTTTTGGCTTTTTTTTTCCGATAAGAACAAGTGATGCCTGAGTGTTTTAAGAATCAGAACAAGAAAAAGAAAAATACAGGTATTTCAAAAATGCATGATTGTGGGGCACACTAAAAGTAACAGATTCTAGTGACGTGTAGGTCTAGAATGATACTGAAATAACTTTTGTTATTTGGTAGATACTGCCATACGTTTATCTCGAGTGAGTGTCTATGACCTTTCAACAGACTTGTGATGCTCCAAACAGGAGTCAAGCATCTACTAACACATGTGAAAGTCTGTCTGGAGCAAGGCAGTGATAATGTGATTTTAGTACTGACCAGTGGTGGGCACATCACAGTGAGTTCAAATGTAATATCACCTCACCTTCTGCATGATTCCCTTCTCATAGTAATAGCGGAGAGAACGACTAAGTTTGTCGTAGTTCATAGCAGGCCTGTTCTTCTGAATGCCCCAACGCCGGGCCACCTGCCACAAACAAGAATCACATTGCTAGTGTGCAGTCTTTGTCAGTTACACCATTAAGTATTAGTGGCTTAAGCACACACACACACACACACACACACACACACTCACAAGTTTATCAATGTATGCCTTCTAAACCCACCAAAAAACCTCCAAATCTAGGACATAAGTAAAGCAGCAATGGATTTTGTGATCTGAATTTCCTGTGTCCTGGTTTAAACCAGGCTTGCAGTCTTCTTTCTTAAAGGTCACAATAGAATTCTTTGTCACCATTGTTTCAAATAGAAATTAAATGGGAATAAGGGAATGTGTTTACATCAGGAAAGAACAGGCTGCAATTGACCAAAGCAAGGCAGATTTTCCTTTCTGCACTACACAGGCAATCTTTTCCTTCCTGAACTTTCAGACAGACATTCCAAAAGAAGAACTGCTTAATGACTACTTTTGTAAAGGTGTTTTATTGCATTTGTGGCAAATAATAGGGGAAAAAAAGAAAGACCCTGCTCAGATTGTGCAGAAGAAAGGACAACTGGTGGGTTGTCAACTGAGGAAACAGTGTGCCGATTAATAAGCTGAACTACAAATAATTGTTGTTGCCCAAAGCGGTCTCTGAAGAAAGTTAGAGCCAACAGCAAACTGGAAAATTACACTCATTTAGGAAACATTGATTGGATACTATAAATAAGGTGGAAGTGGAAAAGTCACCATGTATATGAACTTTTTTTTTTTTAAAGCACAATGTCCAGTGTTGTTTAGTAAAGGTCTGAGAAGGGTTTACTGGGTGACCCTGTGGAGCACGGGGGTCTGGCTAAGGCAGAGCCCTCCAGCAGAGCCTTGGAAGCAACTCCTCAGTGATACCCTTCCTCTCACCATCACACTGGGCTGATGCAGGCATACAGAGGGAGGTGACGTCATGGACTCATTAACTCCTCTCCTTGGTAGGCTGAGGAGAAACCATGCACAGCCTAAGCAAGGCCAGGAGAGCATCTCTACCAGAGCATGACCTTTCGTTTCCATGAAATTCTGAGTTGTTCTGTCCCACAAAGTAACTCCTCAAAGTCATCTATCTGCTCCTCTCCTCTTCATTAGCAACAACCTATCTGTTGTCCTCCCAACCCGTCCCCTTTAACAATAATCCTTACTATTTTCTCTGTCACTAATTGGTATTCCTGGAATACAAACATGATGATCTTTGATCACACAGGTTGGTATACTATTTCATGAGCAAAGTGACTTGATGGGGCCAGGACAACTATCTAGCTAGCAGTCATGCTGGTGGATGGAGTCATACTTGAACTACGACACCGACTCTCAGGATAAATGTCGCGATGCCACTCGCTAGACTCTTTCTGCTGCTTCCTAACACTGTAAACTCTCATGTGAAATTACTTCGCTAGACCAGCATTGGAAGCATTGACCTCACCTTTGAGACTTCATGTTGGCAATTGTGCCTTAGCTCTGAGTTATGCTGTGTATATTATTGGTGGTACTTATGGAGATCAAGTGGCCTGTCTTAACTTTTGGGTAACCTGAAAGTTATTTATGCTTCTTGTTAATTTTAGAGCCTTTTTGGCCACAAGTATAGGCATATTGTTTTCTTCTTTAACTTTGTGTCAGTTGTGAGACAGAATAACTCTAAGGGCATACTTTTTAAAGCCTAGGGTAATAATCCACAGTGCTGAGAATTAATTTGACATTATAGGAACCAAACTCTTACAACCTTCTTTTATAGTATTTCTAACTATCAAGTGATGTCCAGAGATGCCTTTGGTGCCTTACAGTTTGTTGCATTTTAATTTTGAAGTGCACTCTGGTATAATTCTAGGAAAAGACTCACTTGTAAATGAATGTTTTAGTCATTTGATGCTTACTAACACTTTCCACTTTCCCCGAGATTCCCATGCAGTATAGTTGTATCTCTATTGAGCCACTGACATCCTCTGTTATTTAAAAAACAAAATCTTTTTGGTGTGGGTGTTTGAACTCAAGGCTCTGTGTGTGCCAGGGAAGCACCGTATCGGTAACATATATCATCCAACCCACCAACTTTGGAAGGTGATGCTTGGCTATGGGATACCAATCCCAGAATCAGGCTCTGGCAGTCTGACGTTGTGGTATCCGTCTAGCTTGAGCATCAAGACGGTGACAGGGAGCCCTGCAGGTTTCTTTCTGTGTTAAGGAATGTTTTCCGTAAGATGACTGATTAATTTGGAAGTGATATACCATTATCTCAGATACTTGAGGGAGAGAGAGCCGTGTTTGCTAATGTTATCCTAGCACACTGAGTCGATAAGCAGGACAGATTCCGAAGTTCACTCAACATGCTAAACCAAGAGATGAAACATGAGGAAATAAAACCTGTGAGCAGTACCACATGGTGCTTCCAAGACATCATTCATGGATTGTGGTGGTCAACACTGAAAGGTCTGTTACGTACAAGAGGGTAAGAGAGGCCCTGTGGGCCACACAGATGAAAATCATTCACAGATCCTTTCCAAAGAAGAGATTGGAAAAGATAACCCAGTCATTGTCTGATGGATGTGAGTGTAAGTGTGAGATAAGCTTGGCAGCAATCAGAAACAGGCTATTTCATTTTTTTATTTTGTGTGTGTGTGTGTGTGTGTGTGTGTGTGTGCGCGTGTGTGTGCATGCACATGCACTTGTGTGCGCATGTGCATGGAAGAGGCTGATGACAGTGTCTTCCTCAATTACCCTTGACCTCATCTTTTGATGCAATGTGCTGACCCAGCTAGGCTAGCTGGCCAGTGTGTCCCGAGGGTCTTGCTGTGCCTGCCTCCAGAGCACTGGGGTTAAAGGTGTATGGTGCCATACCTGGCTTTTATCGTGGCTCCTGAGAACAGAGACAAAATCTCCACACTTGTGCAGAAGCACATTATTCACTGAGCTGTCTTCCTGGGCCCCAAGGCCTGGATGTTGAACAAAAGCTTAGGAGACACGTCACACCTATTGCACAACTCCCACTGAGCTAGTTACCATGTGGAAATAGTCAGCCAACTGAATTACTGGGTCTTGCTTATGACTTTATGCACCTGTGACAGCAGAGTTATTGAAAGGTCAACTGCATGAGACAGATGTGATTGCCTGTCTTTCTCGCATTTAAGCTGATCACAAAAATTCAGAATGACGGCACTAGCTGGCCAGCTAGCCAGATCTTCCACTCTTTTTATTCAGACTCAAACGTCTAAACGCCATGGGTTGTTGTACAAAGTACTTCATCACTTGGAGAATGTGGGCTCTTCTGAGTGGTTCACTGTTACTGACATCATTCAGCAATGTCTCCCATCCTAACAAATCTGACAAAAGCAAAACGTCTGTTTCTGCTCAGTTTATTTTAATCACAGGTGGAGGGAAATGGCTGTTTAACTGACACAAATCCCTGTTGCACTTCCCCAGTCCAAGTCTTTTGGGTTATTAAAATCTCCCATGAAGGGGGAGCACACATTCCCCCGTCATGGTAATGGACTCTGTGATCATTCTGCTACGTGTCTTTAGTTTCTGCGGCCTACACCATATTTTTGTGGCTCTTCATTTCTTACATTATTTTGGTACATATACAGAAGACCAAAGTTTCTTTATAGCCAAATGGAGCTTTAAATACACTACAGAACTTAAATACCCAAACACTTAGCAATGGTAATTCCTGCTTTTGAGTCCTCTGTGTGTTGTTTGGTGTGAGGCCAGGACTCGACCACAAAACGAGTCCTCTGAACAGATGCAAACTATTGTAAACTGGGAGAGACCATTGCAGTCAATGGTAAAGACCATGAAACAATTAATAATTTTACATTGTTTTGACCTACTTTCAAATTTAAAATATGTCTATATAGGTTCAAAATTTTGTGTACACCTCTCTAGCATATTAACCAAGTCTGTTTATATTACAGGACATTTTGATTTCCTATTTAAAGTCTACTAGACTAACCTCTTCAGGCTCAATCAGTTTGAATTCCATGCCTCGTCCAGTCCAGGCAATGAAATGAGAATTTGAAGGGTCGTCCAGAAGAGCTACCAAAAACTGCCAAAGCTGAAGTGATCCTCGCCTCTGGTACGTGGGTCCTTCCCGGTACATTCCTGGCTCTTGCTTAATGTCCCCTAAATTTAAAATATAAACTATTGTCAGCAGTATTATGTCATTTGTATAAAATTTACACTAAATCAACCATGAAAATTGTTAAACACAATCACTTCATGGATTTTGTAACAGTACCAATAAATGAAGATTTAAAATAATCAAATGACTATGCAAACCAGCAATCTACAGAAACCTGTAGACAGCATTAACATTATTTATTCTCATTAATATAAATACACACCAGTAGGAGTAAATTCATAAACATCATTTACTTATAAAAACCTAATACAATTGTCTGTCTTGCTTTCATATCTTTAAAACCCGTGGTACCTAATCATACTTGTTCAAATCGGCTCCATTACTGTTATTTCTTTCTCTCTCAGAGGATGTAATCAGCCTCAAGCTCTGTGCATTTTACTTGTTTAAATTAATTTCTACAAACTGTAATTTGTAAATGCCTTATTGTACCCACATATGACAAACTACTGAAAATCCGAGAGCACAAATTTCAAGATAAATTTAGTAATACCATAAAGCCTGAGTGACCTACACTTTCAAAAAATTGGGAAATTCATGAGGACTCTGCAGCGTTATCGTCTGACCTAACGTGCCTTCCTCTGGAAACCACTGTTTTTCACTGGGCAACAAAGGAAACAATGTTTTTGATGAATACAACTTGCCTGCATCTTGTTCATTAAATTGAGTTTTTAGTATTTTGTTGTGTTGTGTTTTTCGAGACAGGGTTTCTCTGGGTAGCCCTGGCCATCCTAGAATTCATTTTGTAAACCAGGCTGATCAGATACTAAAAGATCTGCCTGCCTCTGCCACCTGAGTACTGGGACTAAATGTGGTCTACAGTGCCTGGCTTGTTGGTCTTTCTTTTAAAAGGGCAACTTAAGCATGAATGTACATACATTCCTTTAAACTAGATGGCCCAGAGACCTAGGGTAGAACCAAATACAATTAACCAAAAAGAAAAAAGAAAAAAACAGACAGACAAAAAAAATAGAAAGAAAGAAAAGTAATGATCCCTAAAGATATTCTGTTATACTCATAGATCAGTGTCTAATCCAATACACATCAGAAAGGCTTCCTCCAGGAGCCGATGAGAGCAGATACAGGGTCCCACGCGCATTATGCCTAGTTCAGGGAACCTGTGGGAGCCAGAGGGTTCCTACAGGACACCAGGAGAACTCAGTCCACAGAATCAACTAGGCAGGGCTCTCGGGGGCTGAGACTGAAAGAGCAACCATGGAGCCTGTGTGGGTATGGCCTGTATTCTCTGAATACAAGCTGTGAATGTTTAGCTTGGGGATTTTTGTTGGACTCCTAACAGTGAGAGGGGTGTCTGTGACTATTGCCTGCTCTTGGGACTCTTTTGCTCCTACTGGGCTTCTCCAGTCTTGACGGGAGAATATGTGCTTAGTCTTATTGCATCTTGTTATGCCATGCTTGGCTGATATCTTCTGAAGTAAGGGAAATGGAGGAGCAGTGGGACTGGGTGGGGAGGACTGGGAGGTATAGACGGAGGGAAGTCTGCAGTCCAGATGTATTGTACGAGAGGATAATTAATAATTCAAAAAGTATGTATACCAGAGCATTTTATGAAATACATTTTTTACCAAAAAGATATGTGACCTCCATTTACCTGGCATAAAAAAGGCATAAAAATTTAATATGAGTAAATGTGTCAATAATGCTTTTGCTATATAACTGTTTGGACTTTTCAAAACCAAACACTAAACTAGAACATTTGGTGTTGCAACCACTAATCATTTTCTTCTAACCCTAGCGATGCATCTCAAAACTATGTGGGCCTGCCTCCAATTCATACTGCCTGGCTACTACATACAGATCAATCAGATCTCTTCTTTGTTGAAGAAACAATTCAGGCAGAATACAGCCAAGTAACTTTATTCACACTAAAGTGTGAACTGCAAAATAAACTAAATCACAAGCTTTCCAGTAGTCAGTAAGTAGAAATGCACCTAATCACATGATCAGAAAAAAGCAACTCTTCAACAGCAACACAAACACATACAATTATTCAGTCAATAGTAACTAAAAAAATCAGGAAGGGCATTTTTTGTCTTTAGCCAGGCAATATAGGAGTGTTTCTTCATGTTGATTTCAAAGTCATTTTTATTTACCTCTGATTATTCCTTCTATTATTTCCAGTGCCCCCCCATGGAAGCAAGTGCAATCATGCAGACAGAGTGAAACCTTATGAAATGTAGTTTCTATGGTGTTGAAGTCCATAAATGTTATTTACTCAATTAACTACATGTAAAAAATCCTCTTTGCTTTTCTTTTTGTTCTCTAATGCTTAAAAATGCAAGACACTTTCATAGATATAATGAAGTATTTAAAGTCAAAGAAAGCAAACTAGGACAGTCAGATGCCAGCATTTTACTTTGCCCATAGTTTTAAGATAATTTCCCTCCTTATATACCCTTACTAATTTTAAGATTATTTAAAATGTAGAGCTTACAATAAATGAAATGAATTCTAAAATGCAAGTTTTAAGCTCTAAGTCAACACAAAACGTGGAATTTTAAGAACTATCCGGAGATGCTAATAAGGGTAGTTAATACAACTCACATTTCTGAAACAGAAGTGTAAGCACTAATATAGAAGAAAACCGGAAAATTCATTCCCTATGGGGGTTCAACTCCATGACCTTTAATAAATTTAGCTACCTTCAGGGAAGCTAAAAAAATATGTTTTTCCTAAAATGTACCATCCTTTCCAAAAACTACAAGAGCACCAAGAAGCTTGGCAGTTAAGCCCTCAAGTAACTAATTATAGGAGACTGAACAGTAATCTGAGCATACACTTTGCTGTTTAAATAATGACAATTAAAAACTCCGAGAGAGCGCCCAAGTCATTACAGCCAAGATCCCCAAAGTTTTTGCAATCAACTAATCAGAGGGCCCCTGCTCATTTCCTGTTTGACAATCAAAGCAGGAAATATGGAGACCACTCCGAAGAACCAGTAAATGAATTAACCATTCACTTTTCCTCCAAGCTTCCTTGTAAATGTCAGCCTTTGCCATCACGCATGTCAAGAGAAGAAGACTCTATCTAGTTTGATGCTCTTTTCTAATATCTGGGACCCTTTCACTGCACTAGCGAGAGATGTTTAAAAGGTAATGCTTTCCTTACTTCCTTTTAAGCAATTACGACATAATGCTACATTAGCAATGTACATCTTCCTTGGTGGGGGTGTAGGGGGCAAGCAATCAGAAAACTCAATGGGCAGTTATGTTGTTCTTGTCCTCCATAATGCATCTTTTCATGAACAATAAAAAGAAAGGGAGCTGCATTAGTCATCAGTGCATCCACAGTAGCATGCTTTCTGCTCTGTTTTGTTAATTACAGGATCAGCTTTCAGTAAATCTCAAATAACAAGCCTCATGTGCTCAGCAGGGCAATGGAAAGATGCCTTGCTCTACAGAAAGCACAGCAACATTGTCGTTCTCCTGTTCTCCTGCCACGTCTCCAAAAAAAAAAAAAAAAAAAAAAACCTCTTATGGAACCAAAGAGAAGAGAGAAACTAAGGGAGGGGGAGCAAAGAGAACGTTCAGTAAGCTCACTAGTCCTTAGTGCGGGAAAAAGGATGCACACAGAATCCTCTAAGTGTAAATGTCAACTGCTTCTAGAAAAGGAAAATGTGTTCTGCACTCTTAAAAGTCAAACAATGAACCTGAGAGAAACCCACCATCGAACTTCTCCGGGACAACACATGTGTCATCATAGAACTGCCTGGGGCCCTTTTCAAACATGCAGCCTGTTGGGGGAGAGCAGGACATGGTTATTAATGATAGAATGTGAAATTAGGCTCTCAGTTTCCACGTCTACCAAATGGGAATGAGAGTACTAGAGCTGTCGTAAGGGCTGAGTAGCTTTTGTGCACTCCAGTTTAGAAGGGCACCGCAGTGGGGTGATGTATCAGCAGTAGAGACATGCTGTCCCAACCACAGACCTTGCCAAAATGATGGCAGACCTAGGCTTCATAATGCACCGTTTCATTTTCTGGTATCTTTTTTATTTCATTATTCAAAACAAGGACAACAAAGGGAATTTCTGGTATTGTCCTTGATTTCTGGTGTTGTCCTGGCACTCAGAAACTGATTTAGTTTACCCTTTACTTTCCTGTAGAAGTGTCTTGGAAAGATAATCTTCTCACTTTAAAGTCATCTTTATTATACACGGTATATGCTCTGTGCACACAGCACAGCACGGGCCTGAAGGCTGGAGGAAAACTGGCAGAAGTGGGCTCTCTCTTTCTGCCGTGGACTCATGGACTGAGATAAGCTTTCCCTAGCCTGGGTAGCAAGCGCCTCCACTCACTGAGTCATCTGACTCACCGAGCCCTCCCCATCGTTAATCGCCAATAGAGGACGAAAGGGGTGTTATTGCTGTTTTTGTTTTGTGCCATAACATAACTCGGCTCACAGGAGAAGTAAAAATACACTGATACTCTTAGTAATCATTTTCTCTCTCCCATACACTTGATTTCACCTAATTGTCACCTTTAATTATGGGATGAGAGTTCATACAATCTAAACATAGCTTTCCTTCTCAAATACAATGCACTTTTCGGTAGGCTGGTAATATTAATAAAACCAGCAAAAGTAATTATATCATTGGTGAAAAGCTTTTGCTCTGAAGTATTCAAGATTTACTGTCTTCTGCTGTCACTTAAACATCTATTAACATCATTCACACACCATCATGGATACTAATCCTAACTGAAAAGGTTCTATCTAAGGCAATTTTACTGAAGAAACATATTGTTTAAGTCACAGTTCCAGCAATCCTTCAGGAGATAATATCCACATAAAGTCATTTCTTTTCTATTACTTTGCAGATGTCAAAAATCTATTAGTGCAGAGAGTTCCACCTGATATAATAACTCCTCTACACAGCTTATGTCAATCTGTTCTTAATAATGACTTTTCCAAAAGGTACAAAACCCAGGACATTGAAAGGCAAAATCATTCTACCATGTTTCACTAAAGCTGTGACTTTGGTTTATAAGGTCACCGCTGAATTATTCTTCAAGCTCTATGCCTGTAGAGTGGAGTAAGGTACATAACCTGAAAGTAATTTCTAGTTAAAAAGATTGTCAGGTGCTGGCAGAAAAGAACACAGCTATTTTTGTGGACAAGACTTACATTAACACCAAATACAAGCTACCAAGATATCAAAGACTAACCATTCATTTTCAAAAGGTAGCGTGTGGTTTGTGTTTATTTTGCCTTGCTAGGGACTGACTCCAAGGCCTTGAGCATACTGGACAAGCACTAAGCCACTGATCATCCCCAGTCCCCAAAGGATAATTTTTAAAATAGTGTTTGAGGAACATAAATACGATTTCCCAAAGCACACAAGGAATGAATAAGACAATCCAAATTTGGAATGTGTGATTGTTTTTAATGTTATTTATAAGGAATTTTTTTAAGAATGAAGAACTTAACTTCTGTTCTGCTTGGATGAGCCAGGAAGCCTTCTTGCCTCATATAAATGGAGTGGCAGCTAGGCACTTCTGAAAAAGAAAAAACAAACAACATTTGTCAAAGAAAGGCAGGTTAGAAGGGCAGGACAGGTAGAAGGTAGATAGAAACGCACCGAAACGTCAAGCATCCAGAGAAGCAAGTCTGTCAGCGTCAGCACATACTGAACATTGTCAGTGGGGCCTTCAAGAAGGGAGACTCCCTTCAATAGGCAGGTGAGCATAGTTTTACCAACTCCACATTGCTGAAGTTCAGTAATATCTCACAGATGTCATACCAGTGTGTTTAAGGGCAGGTGTAATTCATTTATATACCCCACATTATTCTGTCTACGCACACAGCAAAACTCAAAGACTCAGTTATGGGTGACTTCAAAAGTACTAGACAGAAATTACTGAGAAATGATAGAATAATTAAATCTCACATGTTATCTTGAGCCTTTTAAGATTTTTAGCTGTCTCTCTTAGATAACAGCATATCTGACTTTTCATTTTTATTAAGAGTATAGATCATGTTCAAGACTAACAATGAAACAGTACGAAATAAACAGTTTCATGATGTCTGTGCTAAGAAAAAGACAGCCCCACCCCCAAGGCCCAGAGATCTGGAAGAGAAAACAAACACTCGACTCACACAGTGCTGATTGAGAACTGAACACGTTCAATGACTTTGACATGGAAAAACCAAGTAAACATGGGCCAGGAGACATGTGATTTCAATTCAAGCCCATATTACTGTGTAAGCACTTACGTTTGAATAAACTTGCTTTTTGACCTGTACTTATATAAAATAAAGGGTTGAGAGATGTTCCCTGATACCTGTTACAGTTCTCCAGTTCACTGCTGCTGAGGGTATACTCACCCAGAAACCAGAGACCTATGCATGGCAAGCCCCAACATTAAAGGCCTTTCTGTATGTTGGGAGTCCCTTGTGAGCCCTACCTAATACCTATTTTTGTACTCATTCTTATCTATTTTTCTTAAAACGAGTTCTTCAAAATACAAGTTTCAGATCTCCCAATCTGAGGCCTACCCTTTAATGTATAAACACCTGATCAAGTCAATTGTGTATGGTTTTCTGTTTTTTTTCTTTTTCTTTTAGCAACATTAATAAATAAAAAAAGGAAATGTGCACCACAAAAGCAATGCTTAAGACAAAAATAAAATCCATCCTTCCCAATGCTTGCCACTCAAGTATACCACCCTTAAAGGATGAGTCTCAAGGCCCAGCCTCTCCAGACCCACCCATCTACACACTCATTTTAACAAGAGGTAAACAATACCCTATACTGACAGCCTGGTTAATCCTTTGGTCTAGAATTTCCCATTTTCAAAGTCAGTATTTTTGCTTGTTTATTTGTACGGTCTGATGACAAGTGATAGTTTTTCTGGCCTAATGATTAACATCAACAAAAATATGAGCAATTTTAACATAAAAATATTTAATCCATGTGGTTTTAAGCTAAAATGTTTCACCAGTAAGCCATAATTTTAACAACATTTTAAAAGTATGGTTTTGGTGGTACATGCCTATTGTCCAAATATTCGAGAGGCTAGGGAAGAAATTTTGTGAATTTGAGACCATTCTGCGTCACACAGAGAGACTCTCTCAACACAAAACAAAGCCAGGGGTGTAAGAGGCTGGACATACAGTTCAGCAGTAGAACCCTTGCATAGCACGAATGGGTCCTACATACAATCCTCAGCATCCGAGAGATAAAAATTAAATACTTACGTGAAATAAAAGTTCATAGGAAAGCATAGTTTATGTGGTGAAGACACTGAAAAACTTGCAGATACACACTTTTCTATAACATGGTTTTTACAATTTATTATTATATAATGTATAATACTGAGTCTATGAAGGCAAAGGGACTCTTTCCCTGACAGTATTGATAACAGGCCAAATAGTTAGCAATCCACTTTATTCCAACTTTAACCTAATGATGAGCCATCAAATTAATTTTTAATGTTACTCTGATTTATTGCCAGGCAGAAGGTCCCTCAAAACAGCTGGTCCTACAAGGGCCAGTGTTAATGACTGCAGTCGGGGCAACAGCTGCTCAGAGCTAAGCATTTTGCTGTACTGATGTTGATACCATGCCACAAAAATACTCTTAGTGACTGCTGCACACCTGGAGTACGGCTGTAAGAACAGCTGGCAGGCTCTGAGGCAGCTAGAGGAAAAGACAGAGGCTGAAATCTATTACATGCAAATGTGACTGGGCGTGCTATCCAGCCCAGGGGGGAGAAAAAGAGGAAACACAAACATTTCTGAGGAATCCAGTATCCAAGGCTGAAGGACACTTAAAGAATATTCTAACGTGGTGTAAAATTAGTGTAATCCTGGAAATCTAGACATAGTGTCAGACACACTTTATGCAAAATTTGTCTAATTCTCCTCATCTAGAAAAGCAGCTGGTGTTTCTATTACTGCTCTTACACTGTATTGTTCTTCAAAAATTCTAGGTCTACGTAGATATTTAAAATAGATGGTTCTAAAATTTATTTAAAAAGTCAGCGGCATATCATAAGGCTCAGGCCAGAATTTTCATTACAGTTTTCATAAAGACCAATGTGTGATTTACATTTTTAAGAAGACAATGGGTGGCAATTTATGCAGAGAATTGTGCTTTTCAAATCCTGCCATTTATTACACAAGAGTAAATAAAATTAGCAACTAGATTTTAAAGGCAAGGCCTTGGCTAGCATTTTTAAATCCAGTCTGCCCTTTAAATGGGTGCCATTTATATAGTCTAGAGAAGCCAGAAAAAAATCAAATAAAAGAAAAAGCTAGGAGGTTTATTCACATAGAATAACTGAAGTCATGTTATTCTAAAGTGATATCAGTTAATTTATGACTATCAGAGTGGGTCAGACTCTAATCAGATTGTAGAAACATTTCCAAAGTGATTATTCAATCAAATGACTAACATGGTTAATTAGGGGCCGTAAACATTGCTCTGAAGTTCATCAAAGTAATGACTTGCCCAGAAAAATTACTGCTAATTAAATTGCCTGCTGCTTTCATTTCTACCTTATCTAATAAAAAAAGTCCAACTGGTGAGACTTGGCATTCCATTTGAACTTTAGCTAAATGTTCAATGAGGATCCAGGCTGGACTTAGTGGTGGCTTCAAAGGACAATGTTTGGTGACAGAGAATGGAGGTGTCGCTGGGCAGGGTCTTCCACTTCCCTATGGAAGGAAGGACAATGCAATAGCAGCCACTCACTGTAGCCTGACCTATGCAAACATACTAGTATGGAAAGACACTTACACTATCCGCTGGTTAAAATTTTAGGATGACCAGCTCAGCATGGTGACTGCCAAGAACCACTTTGCCACCTAGTAGGCACAAGTTCAAGTCTAAGGTCTCTCGTTTAATGGAAGTGTAGCTGTTGCCAGGTTGACAGCTTTTTCCTCAACCTTCTCATCTGGAAAATGGGAATTCTTGTGATACTTTTATAAGTGATGCTAAGAGGACCATAATGATGCATGTAATATTTCCACTAGTATATACAAGAAGAATTATATATTTCAATAATTTACTTATATACATTAATTTTGTGTTTCTAAGTCCCATGAACTGTTTGATTTGTTGCTTACTAGTGTAGTTATTCTGGGATAGACTCTATAGATCTACCTCTTCATCCAATATCTAAAAATATATTGGTTAAACAGTCATCAAGAATTTATGATTAAGCCAGAATTTCCACCAGACACTTTAAACACCCGAGGATTCATCTTTGAACTTCATATTTTTGCAATATTAACCCTTGTTGTTTGTTTTTAAATAACACTGACTTAAGAAGTTTAAAAGTCAGTCTGTGAATTGGATTATGTAAATTGAATTTAGGACAAAGGATTTTTATTGATGTAGAAACTTGTGGATCAAAGCGTTCTAAAACTCGATATTAGTGCTGACCAAATCATCTCACAGAAATCACAGTGTCTGTAATTTGTTACAGATGAGCTCTTGTGGTGATGACAGCTGATCTAATATGCTGTAAAAATTCAAAGCAATCAAGTGCTGCTGGCATCTCCTGGCTTCCATGCATGGCGGTGGAAAGAAGAGCAGAGCATTGCAAGTCTCCAAACTGCCTTCTGGGGTTAGGTTTCATATAGCATCACTATTAATGGCACCAGATTTGAAGTGATACGGAACGTATCGCTTCATATCAAGATACGTGTGCAAGAAACTTAAAAGAGGAAGTGTTTTCTCCCTCTTTGCCTTCCAGTGTAAAGCCATGCTGGAAAATACATTACTGACATGGGAAGCTTAACCAAAAGTTTTACTACAAAATGCAGTTTTGAATTCGCACTTACAGTACGCTAGGCACTCCTTTGATTTGCATATTTGCTGCTCAGTTGTACAAAATGGAAATTCCCTCTAAGGTATCATTTGTGTATGCTTCCAAAAGCCACACCAGACCCAGAGAAGGAAGATTAGTCATGACTGGGCAGGGCATTTTAATGGTTGCTGAAACTACTTTGTTACCAAGTAGTGTGTAAACCTGGGACTATCTCATATAACAAACAGAATAGAGAGGTTGGAAAGAGAGTTTCCTTCATTCAATGCTTTTTCCTGGACCCCTCCAGTAATAATCAATGTACAACTTAATTCAGCTTTCAAATGTCTAAAGGTAAATGAGAAACCCCAGAAAAGTAGGAGTAGCTCAGGATGGTGCCTTTGCCTTCCTTTAATTAGAATGCAGAAGTTGGCTGGCTGTATACTTTGACTCCTTGTGGAGTGACAGGACTAAGTAAAGTCCACACGGAACCATCCATTCATTCATTGATTCACTTTTAAGATGAGGTCTCATTCTGTCCTCTTGACTGATTCTACCTGGTACTGGGATCACAAGCATGAACTGCTGTGCTAAGCTGTGTTCAGTACATTTGCATAATGGGAGAAAAATTGAAATGCTAAACATATGAAGTCAAAATAAATGATGTATTCTGCAAAACATGCATCTGAAAGCAGTATGTATGTAGTATGTGCTTTGTAAGGTATGTGTGTATCAGTGTGTGC